GATCCTGGGGTTAGTTCACAGAACCCCACCAACCCAATACAATTATGCTTTACACATTTAAGTGTAAATTTATCTTTGAACAATCAAATGGGCAGCTAGAGGTTGTAGCTCAGTGGTAGAGCATTTGCCTCGCATGTGTGAGGCCCTAGGTTCGATCCTGAGCACCACATAAAAATAAATAAAAATAAAGATATTGTGTCCATCTACAACTAAAAAAAAATTAAAAATCAAATGGAAAGACAACTCAAATGTAGTTAGACATGGTAGTATACACCTATAATCCCAGCTTCTTGGGAGATTGAAGCAGGAGGCTAATTAAATTAGCACAAGATCTTGCCTCTAGGGGCAAGGGAGAACTAGAAATGTAGATTGGTGGTAAAATGCACCTGGGTTCAAGCCCAACACACACAAAACAAAAACTAATAAAGCTGGGTGCAGTGCTGCCTATCTGCAGTCCCAGCTACTTGGGAGGGTAAAACAGGAGGATTGCTTGAGCTCAGGAGTTCAAGGGCAGCCAAAGCAACTATGATGAGATCCCTATCTCCCACCCCCCACCCCCCCACCCCCGCCACATACACACACACAAGTGGGCCATAGAACCAGAGATTTGGGTTTTATTTTACTCTCATCCCATTTTAGCTGTGAGATTATACTCTATTTTGACATACCAAGTGAGACTTATAATCACATTTCAGGACTGTGGTTAGGATGAGGGCACCTGCACTTTACCACTTTGCCAATTAACCAACTAAATTGCCTTGAAGAAGTATAGACTCGGAAATAGTGAAAAACTGGGTGGGTGACAAAAATGGTGTTAAGGTGCAGGGTACAGTGGTGCATGTAATCCCTGTGGTTTGGGAGGCTGAGGCAAGAAGATCCCAAGTTGGAGGCAAGCCTGGGCAACTTAGTGAGACCATACCTCAAAAGATAAAAGAGGGCAGGGGATATAGCTCAGTGGTAGAATGTCCTTGGGTTCAATCCCCAGTACCACCAAAAAGAAAAAGAATAACATTATGGTTTGGATCTTAAATGTCCAACCAAAGGCCATGTGTTAAAGACTTGGTTGCCAGCCTGTGGCACTATGGGGAAAAGGTGAAAGTATGGCCTAGTGGAAGGAAATTGGGTCACTGGGGCATGCACACAAAGTGGGTATTGGGACCCTGACCCCTTACTCTCTTTCTTTTGCTTCCTGCCCACCATGACATGAAACCTTTGCTCTGCAACATGCTCCTGCTATAATGTGCTGTGCCACCATAAGGACAAGTGACCAATGGGCTGAAATGTCTGAAACTATGAACCAAAATCTTTGCTATTCATAAGTTATTTCTTCAAGTATTTTTGTCCCATTGACAAAACTAACACAGATAGGGTTAGACTCAGGAAGGCTTTTAGTAACAAGATTGGTAAATATAAGTCAGTTGAGATCCACTATAGTTTAGCTCTTTGTTTTTTATGGTGCTGGGAATCTAACCCAGGACCTGGCACATGCTAAGAGCTGCATCCTCAGTCCTAATATATTTATCCTTTAACCCAAATTTCAGAGTGCATATTTTTTAAAATATTTTTTAGTTATAGATGGATGCAATATCTTTATTTTGTTTGTTTATTTTTATGTGGTGCTGAGGATTGAACCCAGTGCCCCACATGTACGAGGCAGGCACTCTGCCACTGAGCCACAACCCCAGCCCTCAGAGTGCATATTTTAACTACAGATTCTTCTTAATTTAGGAGGGGGTTACATCCCAATAAAGTTTCATAAATTAAAAATACCTTAAGTTTAAAATGCATTTAATACACAGCTACTGAACATCATTGCTTAGCATCATGGTACACTGCAAAATATCAGTTATTCACGCTTATGACTGCCTGGCTGACTGAGGGCTATAGGGCTTTGCTATTGCTCAGCATGATGGGAGAATATTGTATCACATACTGCTAGAGATTAAATCTGAAGTATAGTTTCTACTGAATGTGTTACCACTTCTGGATCTTCAAATGTCAAATGATTTACATTGAAACAATGGTAAGTTAGGAACCATCTGCAGGTTAGTCAGCTTTTTATTGCTGTGACTGAAATACCTGGTAAGAACAACCTAGAGGAGGAAAAGTTATTTTGGCTTGGAATTTCAGTTGGCTGACTCCACTGCTGTCTGCCTGAGGTAAGGCAGAATATCATGGCTGAAGGGCAGGGTGGAGGAAAGCTACTCATATCATAGCAACCAGGAAGGAGAGAAAGAGAGAGAGAGAACTCAAGGAGCCAGGGACAAAATATAATCCCCAAAGTATGCCCCCAGGCCTACTTCCTCCAGTTACATCCAACCTGTCTGCAGGTCCCACCAGTTATCTATTCAAATTATTTATCTATCAAATGGCTTTTATCCACTGTTCAGGTTATATCTCTCATAATCTTTTAGTTATTTCACCTTCAAACATTCTTGCATTGCCTAACACACGAGTTTTTGTGGGAACATCTCATATCCAAATCATAAGTGTGTAGTTTCAAATATCAGAAATAAGGGATTACAAAAATATAATTTGTCAGACATGCTAAGATTATTCGCCCAAATCTATAATCACAAAAAGAGTGAATTGAAGCAACTAAATAGAGTTCCTCTGTGCTCTTAAAGGAATAGGTAAAGTTAAGCCTTGTAAATCATTAGTCAGATAGGCTTCTATTGTTCCAAACTGGAAGGGAGGATGAAAATAAAATATATAATGGAAAAGGCATGAAATACAGTAACAATTAGTAAAGTCTGATGATGTAGAAAGAGGAGCACACACAATAGAATATATCAGGAAGAGCATGTTAGGAGAGCTAGACTTTAGACAATGCTTAATCAACTTTTACTCATTCTTTTCTTAGTTTAAGAACCATTTCCTTAAAGAAGTCTTTGACTACCTTTCTTCCCCAAGTTTAGGGTAAGTTCTTATACACTCACAGAATTATGTTTTATTATTTTAGAACACTCATTATAATTTCTAATCGTTTAATACTAGTCTTCTCTAAGTTCTATGAAAGAGGGTCTAGTCTAGTTCAGATGTATTGCCTGATACATAGCAAGTGTTCAATAAATATTTGAATAATTATTACAACAAAGGAGAAATTTAAAACCTTCCATCAAACTACTTAGAAATTAAGGACAATGAAAATATTACACTGACTTAAGGACAGTGGCCAAAGCTATTCTAAATTTTTCTCATTTAAATAAAAATATCTGTTACAGGATGGAGTGTGGTTCAGTGGCAGAATGCTTGCTTAGCATGGTGAGGCACTGGGTTCAATCCTTAGCATCACTTAACAAATACAGGCATTCTGTTCATCTACAACTACCAATAAATTTTTTTTAAATCTATAACACTTGTAATCCTATTGTGATTCCAATGACTTGTGAGGCTGAGGCAAGAGGATTGCAAATTTTGAGGCCTGCCTCAGCAACTTAGTGAGACCGTGTATCAACATAAAAACCCGTTGGGGATATGGCTCAGTGGTAAAGCATCCCTGGGTTCAATCTCCCCAATACCAAAACAACAACAACAAAAAAACTATTGAGTCTCCAAAAAAAAAATCAATGACTTGGAACAAAACCAGTAGAAGAGACCAATGAAATATACAACATATTGGCAATGCTAATCATGGGACAAATGCAAATGCATAATAATAAAAATGATACAGGACAACAGGTGAAACAGTGTAAAATACTACATACTACTCTAAGTATATTAAAATATTTATTTGGGGTAGTGAGGGGGAGTGTGAGAGGATTAGATGAACTCTAGATAGTGCAGAAGAGTGAGAGGGGAAGGGAGAGGGTATGGTATTAGAAATGATGGTGGAATGTGTTGGACATTATTATCCAAAGTACATGCATGAAGACACGAATTGGTGTGAATATACTTTGTATACAACCAGAGATATGAAAAATGTGTGCTCTATATGTGTAATATGAATTGTAATGCATTCCGCTATCAAATATAAATAAAAAAATTGAAAAGTAGAATATTTAAGTAAAATGGACAGTTTTCGAGAAAAATAAAATACAAAAACTGATTTAAAATGTGGAAGAAACTCTCAAAGTTATTAACCATAACTTTGGAGAAGTCAGCAAAGAACTTACCAAAGCATAAACGTCCTTCTATACATCAATTAGAAAAAGCCAAGTACCCCTAAACAAAATGAGCAGATAGAAACAGGAAATATACCAAATAACTCATCTAATCCTATGACTACTCAAGTCACTGGAAATAAAAAGCCTGCAAATTAAAAGCACAATTTCTCACTTTCTTTTTATCAAATTACTGAAAAATCACTCCTAGTTTTTCACAGTAAGGAAAATCAACCGTACTGTAGCCGCATGAATATAAATTAGCACAAACTTTCTAGAGACCAATTAAGTAGCATACAAAGTCTAAAATCCCTTCCACCTCCAGAAACTTGGACTGGATATTTGATACTGGTTACTGTTAAGCCTCAGGAGTGAAAACAGTATTGTGGTAATACGGAGAAATGTGCCTACTTTTTAGGCTCACCTAAGTATTCAAGGGTAAAAAAGATGTGATACATGAGTAAAAATTGAAGCAAATGTGCCAAAATATTGTTATATCTACCCTGAGTATATGACGGGCCATCAAACTCTACTTTTCAGTATGTTCGGATATTTTAAGAAAAACGTTTTAAAATATGTTTTGTAGAAAAGTCAAGCGAAGACTCGAAATTGCTCACCATCCGCCTCATAAGTGAAATTGGCCAACAGTATCTGCACATCCCACTCGTACCATATCTAGACAGTGAACCCACGGAAACCATCAGAAAGGGGTCCCAGTTGACCAGTCAGGGTTGGACAGGTTGGGCATATTATGCGGGACCTACAGATAGGAGCCAAAAACCAGCCGTTCCACGCTCCGAGCTCAGTGCGCCTGCGCAGTGTAGCACTGGCTGCTTACTCAGGCACAGCGGAAGCGCTGGCGCCCCGAGTCACGTGGCCATGGGCGGAGGTGGGGCGGGCCGGGGACGTGCTGCCGCGTCCTCGCTGGCTCACTGGGCGGCGGTGGAGCATGTGTAAGTCGCTGAGGTTTCTACTGGCTCGGAATTCGACTAGTGTATGCCTGGCTGGATCGTAAGGCCGGCGTCTGCGAGGACGCGGCGTGGAGGGGAACGGCAGCCGGAGACCGGCTGGGCATCCCTTTCGGAAGCTGGACAGTCCCGGCTTCGCGGGTGTCGCCTCTCGGCCAGCGGCGGGGATCATGGCTTCGCTGGCTGACCGAGTACGGGGCAATGGGCGAATAGCTGCTGGGCTCCTGTTCAACCTGCTAGTGTCCATTTGCATCGTGTTCCTCAATAAATGGATCTATGTGCATCACGGCTTTCCCAACATAAGCCTGACCCTGGTGCACTTCATGGTTACTTGGCTGGGCTTGTACATCTGCCAGAAGCTGGACATCTTTGCTCCCAAAACTCTGCCTCCCACCAAACTCCTCCTCCTGGCCCTCAGCTTCTGTGGCTTTGTGGTCTTCACCAACCTCTCTCTGCAGAACAACACCATAGGCACCTATCAGCTGGCCAAGGCCATGACAACGCCGGTGATCATAGCCATCCAGACCTTCTGCTACCAGAAAAGCTTCTCCACAAGGATAAAGCTCACGCTGGTGAGTAACTCCAGATGCCCGACGCACATCCCTAAACACTTAACTCCTGAACCCCACCTCCTGGACGTCTTTCTCTCCGGGAAATTTGAATGTACATTGTTTAACCTGCGTCACGCTCTTTCCCATCTTCTTGAGTCATTTTCTATGAGCATGTGAACTTAGGGTTTATTTGGGAATGCAGGGGTAAGAAAGCCTTTGTTGGGCTCTTAGTCCAGAAGGGTGTGCTAGTGTGGGTTTTAGCAACTACTGTTTAATGGAATCTTCAAATTCTGTGATTGGAAAGAAAAGAAAGCTGTAAAGAGGGGTGCAGTGTAGTTCAGTGTATCAGGATATCTGTACAAGCTCAAACTGAGAAACAGCCCTTCTCCCCAAGGGAATCAAACCACAGATGATGAATGTGAAAAGGTCTAGAAAAAAATGTCTCAAAATATGTCTGCAAGGACATACTGCAGAGACATCTGCATCTTTAAATGAAAGGAGATTCAGTAGAATAATATCAGCACTTAGTAACTTTTAATATTTAAGATCTTAATGCTTTTATTGTTATAGTTACATGTTGTTTAGGCATTACTTTTGTGTTCCATTTACTTACCTGTGTGTGTATGCATGCATGCGGTAATTTCTTGCAAAGCACAATGCATAGACTCATTATTTTACCCCAAATTCAAAATAGAACAAAATGTGAGCATCAATATGGAATTATAATATTTCACATGTAAGAAAAAGAATGAACAATTTTCACAAGTGAAAAAAAAATTATAGATTTGTTGCTTCCCAGATATATGTGTTTATGATTATTAGCCTTGTAAGACACTGTGAAAGGAATATTAAATTTGTTTCTTGAATTTAATCTGAACAGAATTTTACTTCTTTTTCTTTACAGATTCCTATAACTTTAGGTGTAATCCTAAATTCTTATTACGATGTGAAGTTTAATTTCCTTGGAATGGTGTTTGCTGCTCTTGGTGTTTTAGTTACATCCCTTTATCAAGTGGTTGGTAATTTTTTTTTTCCTTTATGTGCCTTTTTAGCAGATGTCATAAGTTTTGAAGCTGTATCCCAAGGTTTAGAAAATACAGTATAGAGACAATAGACTGTTGGGAAGAAACCATAATTGCATAAATTGACTCAAGGTGAAGAGAAGAAAACAGAGAAACTTGGGTGTGTGATGCTCACCAAATACCTGTTTGTAAGTGTATAATATCCATGCTTAAGAGTGTGAGTTTGGGATGAAGTTATGTTATTTTCTGGGAAATCTTTACAAAACTTGAAGTAAGACTTTATTTTAATGGGCCGGGGCTGTAGCTCAGTGGCAGAGTGCTTGCCTAGCATGCACGAGGCACTGAGTTCAGTCCTCAGCACCACATAAAAATTATCAAATCAAAGGCATTCTGTCCATCTACAACTACAAAAAAATTTTTTTAAGACTTTACTTTCTGAATTCATTAGTTATGTTATTATTTACCCTTTAATTTTAAAGTTGCTGTGAAGAAGTGAGTGCACTTCCAGACATCTGAACAGAAAAGGAAATTTTTGCTTTCATAGTTGTTTTTTTTTTTTTTTTTTTGCCTCAAAAAATATGTTGCTATATATTGGCTTTTAATAATTTATTTATATCAATTGAGTTTTTTGTAGAAATGGGTATCTCACTTCTTGTTCAAGCACAGTGTCTTGCCTGTGACAGCATTCTTAAAAATTTGTTCATGGATCCATTTACTTTATTACCATAAAATCCCAACACGGTCATTTTGTTTCTCATATAGTGGTGAAAAAGAACATGGTATAGGGTGCAGTGAAACAGTATTCTCTCTATACTGAAAACCTTGGTTTGGAATTTCTGGGTGTGCCTGCATGGGGAATCAAAGCCAAAATGTGTAACCAATTTTATTTTTTTCACAGACATCCACTGGTTATAAACGGAGGCATTCTTGTTGGGAATGTTAGGAGTTCAGTATTGCAGCCCTAGCATCTTAAATTCTCTGGTAACGATCATTTCAGCAACGTTGTCATGAAAAAATAGTATAGTCATGAATACATTTTTTAGTAGCAGAGAAGCAGTTTAAACGAAAGATGAGACCAGTGTCATGAAAGGATGAAGCGCTCACTCAGTTTTGTTACTTGGCTCCATGATATGCTATGTTTTACTACAGAGAATGATCTAAAGAATAAGGAAATTTAGCTTTGTTAATTAAAAAATCGTATTTGGTACACTTCAGTGAGTATAAATTTTGTTACTAGGCATAGTGAATGTTACTATTTATTTTTATTAAATGCATTTTTTGCATTTAACAAAATGTATGGATTAAATATTCACTAAAATAGCAAGAAGTTGTATCTTGAATATTAGAATTTCTTGTACTTACACATAATTTCAATACAGAGTACTCATTATGTCAGTATGACCATTTTTGTTCACAGAAGTTTCAAAGCTACTGTAGATTAGAATCAAGGGTTCTATATCTCTAAGGTAGATATTTGAGATGAGATTGACCAAGAGGGGTTGTAAATGTGCAAATGTTCTATTATCAGTAAATAGTAGAAGTAATATAATGGAATACAAAGATTTTTTTTAAAAAATCCCTTTTAAAGAAATCTGTATCTGCCCATTGTATCCCAGTGTGTTCTAAGTTATTTCTTCTTCTACTGCTGGGGTAATTAAAAGGAGTTGAAAGAAGAGTGATGAGCTGTAAACTTCAGTTGTACAAAATAGTTGACTCACTCATTCACTCAGCAGACATCTTTTCTGCTTTATGTTCATCTTTAAGGATACAGAGATGAGCATCAGCTATAATCCGTCATTGTAGAAACATGTGTAGACAGCTGGTCACTTCAGCGTGTGAGCCAAGTCCTGAAGAAGACCAAGGAAGAAATGACAGCCCTCCATCCAGGGTGATGAGGCAAGACCTGAGGGAAAGTTAACAATTTAAATTGAAGGATGCACAGGAGTTTGCTCAGCAGTGAAATATAACAGGTCTTTCCTTGAAGTATGTGTGAAAGTACAGAGCCCTTTGGGAGAACCTGATTTATTTAGTGAGGTTAGACTGTAAGTATACTGTGGAAAGAAGAAACCAAGCAGTGGGTGATACCAGATGGCAGTCTCCTGTCATGCTAAAAAAGTGTCTTCATTCTGCAGGCACCACATAAAGGAGTTTAGGTAGGGGAGTGGCTTGATTATGCCCTTTGTTTAAGGAAAATCACTGGTGGCAATGAAGGGTACTTAAGGGAAGTGAGAAAGGGTGACAGCAGTTAGGAACCTATCCGTGCTTCTAGGGGAAGGCAGGAATGGCCTGGGCTAGGCAATGGGAAGCTGAAAGATACTCCAGAGACCTATGGGAGGAAGAACCAGTGGGGTCTGATGAAATGTGAAAGTGAGGAAAGTAAGGAGTAGGATCCTTGGGGGAGATGATGGCATTTATTATTGAGGTGACACAAGAGGAGCTCCTTGGTGGAAGGAAGGAAGGAAGCAACTTGATTTTAAAGAAATTCTTGCAGGCTAAGTAAAAATGGCTAGAAAGTTGTGGAAGGTGCTAGGGTAAAAATACTCAAGGAAAGCCGGGAGTGTAACTCTTGCTCTGGGTGTGGTAGAGCACTTGCCAATCATGTGTGAGGCCCTGGGTTCCACGCCAGCACTGTGGGGTGAGTGGGAGGAGTGGGAGGTGAGAGGAAGGAGGTCAGAGCTGAAGACATCAGCAGATAGGAAAAAAGATTAGTCCAGGGTATCCTTTGGATGAGGCAGTCAAAGGAGATGGTGCCCTTTGGGAGGCCATTAGAGGGGTTGTGGACAGAAGCCAGGCTGCACTGCAGTGAGGGACAGCAAGGCCCACCATTCCGGGCAGTCCTGTGGCAGAGGTGGAGGCTGGATGTGAGCCTAGTGAGGCTGGGAAAGGAAAGTTGCATTCTCTTCATCCCTCCATGTTTGCTCACTGCTGTGCCCCCAGTAGCTGGCAGCAGAAGAATCAATTCTTTGTCCTTCATATTCACAGATGACTCTTAGTTAAAACTAGCAGGAATATGGCTCAAATTTCCTGCTCTTTTTTTTTTTTTTTGTCTTGCTGAATTTCTATAGACTGAGAAGTTATGTAACAAGATACCCAGATCTACAGGAGAAAAGCTTGTAGAAGTCATTCAGAAGCCTTGCTGTTCTTGCCAGATCTTATTCAGTTTTACTGAGCATTCTTCAAAGCCTCCTTTTCAGTCCTATTTGTGAAGCATTTTGAGCCCTGTTGGGATTTGAGGTTTTGAGGTGTTATTTCTACCGAATGACAGTATTTTGTGGTTTGTGATTATCCAGCGTACCTGGGTCAAATGGGGCAGGGGTGATACTACCACAGAAAAGACATCCAAAGAGAGGAAACTTTCTTCTGCCATTGATTGAATTTTTTGAAGTGACTGAAAAGACCACATACTTTGGCAGCCAACTGGAATAACCAGGGTTAATCTCCTAGTCTCTGAACTGCCCTGTGCCCCATCTTCCTTTTCAAATTTTTTATTTGGGCCATTTTTAGGAGGAAATGAGGTCTGTCATTGCATGTGTATTCCTGTTTATCCCCTAAATTTCTACTCCTGCCTTAGAAAAAAATCTCTGATTTATATGGTTTCCTATATCCATTTGCTTCTCCCTATTTAATAGGATCAGGAAGATAGAAAGGGTTTTTCTTCCTTGTAAAGAATGGAGAGGAAAATAGTTTATCAGAAAATGAATTTGTAGAACTCTTTTCATCTGTGGTAATTAAAGAGCATTCAGATATCCTACTGATCTTAGAAATCTTGTAGAATAATTAGGAATTTCCTCTCCCCCAGCCTGTACCCCATGTTTCTGTCTGTGTGGCTAGAGTTGCAACGTTGATTAAGTGATGTTTTTCTCTTGTGCCTGACCTGTTTATCTCCTAATTTTCAGTGGGTAGGAGCCAAACAGCATGAATTACAAGTAAATTCAATGCAGCTGCTGTACTACCAGGCTCCAATGTCATCTGCCATGTTGCTGGTTGTTGTGCCCTTCTTTGAGCCAGTGTTTGGAGAGGGAGGAATATTTGGTCCCTGGTCACCTTCTGCTTTGGTAAGTTCTAGCTGTTTCAGTGCCTAAGTAACAGTGTAATAATAATATCTTTGTTTTTAATATATTTTTTTTAGTTTCAGAGCACTATCTCAAATCCATTCTCATGTTTAATCTTCATAATTACCCTTTTTTAAGGAAGGCAAGGTAAGGATTATTTTCCAGACAACAGAATTGAGGCAGAAAAGGTAAAGGGACCTTCCAGGGTCCAGTAGCCAGTCAATGGCAAAACCAGAACTACAGTACAGATCTTATGCCTGGTTACTGTTCTGACCATGCCAGATTATAGCCAACAAATAATTTGGACATTTAATTTTATTGGCTTTCTTTTTATATAAATAGTATGTACTTAGCTGATTATGGTGTTACTCACCTGTATTCCCAGCAACTCGGGAGGCTTAGGCAGGAGGATTGCAAGTTCAAGGCCATCCTGGGCAACTAAGTGAGACCCTGTTTCAAAAAAAAGAGCTAGTGATGTAGTTCAGTGGTAGAGCACTCCTAGGTTTAATCCTCAGTACTAAAAATATATATATATATATTTTTTTTTTAAAGAGAGAGTGAGGCGGGGGGGGGGAGAGAGAGAGAAGAGAGAGAGAGAATTTTTAATATTTATTTTTTAGTTATCGGCGGACACAACATCTTTGTATGTGGTGCTGAGGATCGAACCCGGGCCGCACACATGCCAGGCGAGCGTGCTACTGCTTGAGCCACATCCCCAGCCCATATTATTTTTTTTTAATGTGCTGAGGTTCGAACCTCGTGCCTCACTTGTGCCAGGCAAGCACTCTACTACTGAGCCACAACCCCAGCACCCCCCAAGATTTTTTCATATATGTAAAAAGTACATGATTATGTTGTGGATTTTGAACTTACAAAAAAAAAAATATGGAGAAAGTGGAAGCTCCATGACTTCCCGCCACACTAAGATATTTAGTTACCATTTTGACAATGACCATTTCACAGGTCTGTCTCTCTGTCTCTCTGTATCTGTATGCGTGTGTGTGTGTGTGTGTGTGTGTGTGTGTGAGTGAGTGATTTTATCTAATAGAATCATATCATATGCTTTTTTATCCTGAATTTCTTTTCCCTGTCCCTCCTATCCATGTACACTTCAGCATCCCATTCCCCATGTGTACCCCTAGTGTTCTATAATATCTTTCTCCTTGTTACATATACCCATTTAAAGATACAGTACAGGGGCTGGAGTTGTGGCTCAGTGGTAGAGCACTTGCCTGGCTTACATGAGGTCCTGGGTTCGATCCTCAGCACCATAAATAAATAAATAAATAAATAAATAATCCATTTATAACTGAAAAATATTTTTAAAAAAAGATATAATACACACAGATTGTGTTTTTGACAAACATGGGATCATACAGGTTTCAGAGATTGAACTAGTTGAAGCATGAGCTACACCTCCAGCCCCTGCACATGCTTTTCTTAACAATACCATGAAAATCTCTCCAAATTATACTTTTTAGTGTCTGTATAAATAATCCTTTTAGGTATTCAATTTTTTTTCCTAGTCCTTGACCACTATGAACAACATTTTAATAAACATTCTTATACATGCGTTGTGTGTCCTGATACTTTTTATTTCCCCTTTATGGAATAGAGTCTTAGGAGGAGAATTGGTAGATCAAAAGTGTATGTACTTTGAGGACATTTAAGTTAGAAAACATAATCACCATTGTCTTAGTTCAGGCTGCTATTACCAAAATATCATGGACTGTGTAGCTTAAACAACAAACATTTTTTTCTCTCAGTTCTGGAGACTGGAAGTCTGAGGTTAGAGTACCAACCAGCTCAGTTGGGTTCTTGGTAATAAGGCCCTCTGTTTACAGAGGGCAGTCTTTTCCTTATATCCTCACCAGAGGGAAAGAAAGGAGAAGCAAACTCTCTTTTGTCTCTTCTCCTAAGAGCATTAATCCCCTTTGTGAGGATCAATGAGGTGACTTAGTCACTTCCTAATACTATCACAATTTAGATTTCATTATGCAAAGTTTGGGAGGAAACAAACAGTTCATAATACCTTACTTATCGGGAACTTTCACTTCTAATAACTTTAACCTTTGAAACAGTCAGTAGGAATGTCTTTTTTGGTGGTGGTGTTAACTTAACCAAATACTTACTAACCCTTCATCTTTTCCAGGCATTATTCAAGCACTTTGCAAATGTTAACTTATTTACGCTTCATAACTTTGTGAGGTTAAACTTTGTGAGGTTAAACTTTCATAACTTTGTGAGTATTAACTATTTTTACTCCGGGGAAACTAGAGACAAAAGAGTTATTATGTAACTGACCTGAAATCCCACAGTTAATTAGTGATCCCACAGTTAATTAGCGGAGGCAGAATTTGAATCCATGCATCTTGACTCCAAAGTCCTTATTTTTCACCTCCTCCCCACTCACAATTCTGGAGATTAAACCCAACCAGGCAAATGCTGTACCCCTGAGCTACACTCTCAGAATCCCTCCCCACCCTCCTTTTTTCCTTTTTTTTGGAGTTGGGGTCTGCTGTTGCCCAGGCTGTCCACTTCTGGGCTCAAGCAGTGCTCCCCTGCTTCAGCCTCCCACATAACTGGGACTATATGCAGTCATCACACAATCACCATATTTTTGAGTACTCTACTGTGCTGCCCCTGAGACCAATAATTATTTCAAATTCGTATATTTTTTGTTATTGTTCTTTTTAGATACACATACAATATTATATATTATATGTTATACACATTCACATACAGAATACATACAGAGTGTATTCTGACATATTGTACACACATGGAGTATGACTTATTCTAATTAGGATCTTATAGTTTTACATGATGTGGAGTTTCACCGGTAGTGTGTTCATATGTGAACATAGGAAAGTTATGACCAATTCATCTACTGTCTTTCCTATTCCTATCCCTTCTCCCTTCCCTTCATTCCCTTTTGTCTAATCCAATGAACTTCTTTTCCCACTTGAACCCCCCTTATGTGTTAGCATCCACATATCAGAGAAAACATTGAGCCTTTGGTTTTTTGGAACTGACTTATTTCATTTAGCACAATTGTCTCTAGTTGTATCAATTTTTCCAGCAAATGCCATAATTTCATTCTTCTTTATGATTAATATTCCTGTGTGTGTGTGTTTGTGTGTGTGTGTGTGTAACATTTTCTTTATCCCTTCATCTTTTGAAAGGCACCTATGTTGGTTCATAGCTTTGCTATTGTCAAATTTATATACTTTGGCGTATATACTTGATCCTAAAGTAGAAATCATTGGACCATCTCTCAAATAATATTCCTTTTACTTTGCAAAAGTCCTACCATCTGGATTAATTGGTCTTCAAATATTGCAGCTTGGACACTTGAAACTAGAAGAGAGGTTTTTCGTGGTAGACCCCTGACAGGTTTTGAAAGAGGAAAACAGCAGGAAGTCCATAAAATGTACAAAGAAACTAAGAGTACAGCAAGCTGAGGCTATGTAATGTAAGGAAAAATCACCTTGGTTCCTTGATGTCTCTAGGGGGCATCATTGATTCAAAGTAAAACATGTAATGGTCTTTTTAATCATGTGCCAAGTCATCAAGAAATAGGTATGTGACATTCTGTGAACCCAGTAAAATTAACAGTGATGCATTTTATGCACGTTTTCTTACTTTTTAGCAGACATCACAAATCAAATCAAATGAGGTATTACTGTGTTTACCTAAATAGGACACAAATTCAACTCCTGGTCCTCTTACAACTATACTGATTTTAAAAGTGATAAAATTTATATGGGACAGAAAGTATCTTCATATACAGCATTTCCCTTGGAACTTAGGCTTCTTAATAATTTAAATCATAGCTAATATTTTATCTAAATTCAGAGATAGAAAATGATTTTATGTCATCTTTAAAATTTTTTTTTTAGTTATACATGGACACAATATCTTTATTTTGTTTATTTATCTTTTTGTGGTGCTGAGGATCGAACTCAGTGCCTCATATGTGTGAGGCAAGTGCTCTGTCACTGAGCCACAACCCCAGTCCTGATTTTATGCTTTTTAAAATAAAGTGGGAGCTGGGGATGTGGCTCAAGCGGTAGCGTGCTGGCCTGGGTTCGATCCTCAGCACCACATACAAACAAAGATGTTGTGTCCGCCGAAAACTAAAAAATAAATATTAAAATTCTCTCTCTTTAAAAAAAAATAAAGTGGGGGTGCTGGGATTGTGGCTCAGCAATAGAGCACTCACCTAGCCCATGCAAGGCCCTGGGTTCGATCCGCAGCACCACATAAAAATAAAGATATTGTGTTCAACTACAACTAAAGAGTAAATATTAAAAAAATAATAAAAAATAAATAAAGTGGGGAGCTGAGGATATAGCCCAGTTGATAGGGTACTTGCCTCAAATGCACGAGGCCCTGGGTTCAATCCCCAGCACCACCAAAAACAAAGTAGGGTAAGTTTGAACAAAGCACTATATATGTATACTGTGATACAGTAGCCCATTTGTCCCCTATCCTCAGCCAAGTTGGTTTCTTCCCTGTTCTGTAAGCATACTCTATACTTACACTTTGACCTATGCTGTCCCTGTGCTTGAACCCTACCCTCTCTTTCTTTAATCTATACATGTTTTTAAGATCCAAAGACTTCTCTGTCTATCCCATCCCAGAAGGACCTCTCCTGCCTTGAAATTTATGTAGGATCTATTGTCTGTTTGCCTGCTAGTGAGGTAGACTTGTTTTTCATCTCATGAGCTGCAAGTCTTCTATTGCACTATTATTCTGTGATTAAGAGGCATCATGGCAGAATGGGTTAAAAGCCAGGACTCCAGAACCAGTCTGCCTGCGTTTAAATCTCAGTGCTACCCTTTACTAGCTCTGTGATCTTAGGATGATTACTTTACCTTTCTGCACTCTGCTCTCTCATCTGTAAATAGGGATAATATTTTTTTCATACCTATTTTATGGCTGCTTATGAGGATTAAATGATTTAATACATGTAAAATATTTAGAACAATTCTGATTACGTAAGTATCATATAAACATAAACTTTGATATCATGTCTTCTAATTTCTAAGCTCTTTGAGGGCAGGAACTTTGTGTATATTATGTTTTTCAGGAGGGTTGAACCAGTTTTATTGATGTCCAATAAATATTTATTATCTTTATTTGAATAAGACTAAAAATGAGCAATTCAATAGAAAAAGACCTAGAAGGTAGATGCCAAAATATTTATAGGTGTGGTAGTTGAGATTGTAAGAATTCCTTATCCTTTTTTTTTCCTGATTTTTCTACAATACATATGTATAATTTTTATAATAAGAACTTATTACACCTGGACATGGTAGTATGTGACTATGTGACTATAGTCCCAGCTGCTAGGGAAGCTGAGGCAGGAGTAGTTTTTGTTTTTGGTACCAAGAATTGAACCCATGGGTGCTTAATTACTGAGCTACATCTCCAGCCCTTTTTATATTTTATTCTGAGATAGGGTCTCGCTAAGTTGTTTAGGTCCTCACTAAATTGCTGAGGCTGGCTTTTAACTCACAATCCTCCTGCCTCGGCCTCCCAAGCCACTGGGATTACAGGCATGAGCCACCACATCTAGCCAGGAGGATTCTTTGAATCCAGGTGTTTGGGCAACACAGCAAGACTGTCTCAAAAAAAATTATTACAAAATATTTCTTCCTTAGATGGATAAGAAAAATGAACCTAAAATTCATATTCAGAGACAGGCTTTATTACAGACTTTTCTGTTGATTCTTGTGGGCAGTTATATTTTTGAATACTATTCATTCATTGTGCTCTTATACTCTTAATTTTTTTATTTTATAAAATTTTTTGGTACTTGGAATTTGAGCCAGGATCACTTTACCACTGAAACCACATCCCCAGTCCTTTCCTTTCCTTTCTTTCTTTCTTTCTTTTTTTTTTTTTTTTTGGTACCAGGGATTGAACTCAGGGGCACTCAACTACTAAGCCACATCCCCAGACCCATTTTGTATTTTATTTAGAGACAGGGTCTCACTGATTTGTATTTTATTTAGAGACAGGGTCTCACTGAGTTGCTTAGTACCTTGATGTTGATGAGGCTGGCTTTGAACTCATGATCCTCCTGTCTCAGCCTCCCGTACACCACTTTACCTGGTGCCCTTTTCATTTTTTATTTTGAAACAGTGTCTTACTGAATTGCCTAGAACATGACTAAGTTATTGACGTTGCCTTGAACCTGCAATCCTCATGCTTTAGCCTTCCAGGTCGCTGGAATTATAGGCTCTGTGTTTGGCTACTCTCAATTTTTGTGGTCTCCCAAATTGATTCTCTTTTTCTAATCTTTGTTTTTAATGGTTGATATTTGAGGGGTGTTTGTTGTTTTGGTGCTGGGGATTGAACCTGGGCCTTGTGCATGCTAGGCAAGTGCTCCACCACTGAGCTATCTCCCAGCCTGATACTTGAGTTTTTAAAATGCCTAATAAAATGTATTTTTACTTGATTATAGTGCAGTGCTTCACATTAATGATTTTTTTGATTCATTTGTAGCTTATGGTGCTGCTATCTGGAGTAATAGCTTTCATGGTGAACTTATCCATTTATTGGATCATTGGGAACACTTCACCAGTCACGTATCCTTTCAACAATAACTTACAAATGCGTAGTCTTTTATGTTTCCAAAATTCACATTCACTACCTTATTTGAGTCTTATACTAACTATATATGCATGTCCTAAATTGAGTAGTGTTGATTATTTTTAATCTTTTTCTGTTTATTTCTCCACTAGAGTCTTTAGAACTTTAAAGAAATAAGAACTGAGGAAATGAGTTCACTTGCTATAGCATGAATGTTTTTGAATTTTTTTAAGTAATTGGTGACTATTTATCTTACAAAAATTAACTTAGAGTACCATTCCTTGCAGATTGTGGAATTAAATATTTGTTGAATGAATAACAGGGTGGAGGCTTGAGTTTCAATTAGTTTTCAGTAATAAAATAGAGGTGTGGTTAACCCATGTAACAAAAGATGTTAATTTCAGACTCCTGGCAGCTGATTTGGCAGTGTGTCTTTGTACTAATTTCGTATGGGTGTGTCTACTGTTTTCAATGTTTTAAAATTTTATTTTGAAAATTTATTTTAAAAATGAAGTCATTTGTTGAAGGTCAAATTCAGCTGCCCATTTTCACCATGCAGCTTGTCATTCTGTTTCTCTTATATTTGTATTTCATTCTGCCCCACTTAGGCAAATGCAAATCCAGATCATAGAGGTAGTTTAGTATTGTTTTATCAGAATATACTGATTTATACAAATGAATAAATACTGAGATATCAACAGAATAAAATAAATAGCAAATTTGCTATCAATAAATAATAATAATTACACTTTTTTAAAAAAATAACCCTTAATAAATAAATTTATACTAGATACTATTAGATACATTTTGTGTATATTGGTCCATTTAATTCTCACAGTAGCTCTTTAAAGTGCATTCTATCATTTTATTTTACAGACAAGGGAGTAGGCACAGAGAGGTTAAATAGCTCATTTAAGGCCACACAGATGAGAAGTGTGATGTCCAGATTTGAACTCATACAGTCTAGTCGGATGTGGACATGCGGATCATGTTGCCAAATCAAGGTACCCAAGAATGTGTCCTAATTAAAGACATTCCTTCATTCAACAAATATTTATTGAATATCCACTATAAACCACTCATTGACTTAATAAATACTTACATACCAAAGGTCTACTATATGCCAGCCACTGGGGATACAGTAGTGAACCAAACAGATGAAAATCTTTGCCTCCTCAGGCTTAAATTCTAGTGAGGAATACAGAATATATACAGACTATAAAGTTTTTAAATATGCATACACAGTGTTGGGTAGTGTTAAGTGCCAAGGAGAAAAAAAAGAAAGCAGGAAAGTGGATGTGAAATGTTGGGGACAGGGTTGAACTTTTAGGAAGGGTAGTCAAAAGGCCTCTACAGGAAGGTGATTGAGTAAAGACCTGAAGGAAATGAGATTGCTCCATGCAGATTGGGAGAGAACATTCCAGGCAGAAGCAATAGCAGGTGAGAGGCCCGAGAAACGGGGATACCTGCATGGAGCAGCATGTGCAGAGGAGGGGATATGGTGGGCTGAGAGGTAACGGAACCAGACTGAATGGGGCCTCCACATAAGGACTATTACTCTGAATGAGCTGGGAAGCCGTCGGAGTTTGAAGCGAGAAGATGACATCAGGGTTGTTGACATTGTGGGCTGGACAGTGCTTTGTTGTGGAAGCCTGTCTTGTATGTTGCAGGTTGTTTAGCAGCATGCCAAGTCTCTGCCAGTAGCACACCCAGCCCTCAGTTGTGGCAACCAAAAATGTCTTCAGACATGGCTCATGTGGCAAAATCATCCTGGTTAAGAACCACTGGACTGAAAGAGCTAGGAGAGGAGGGAAACTGACAGGAGGCTACTGCAGTATTCTAATTTAGAAATAATTGTAGTTTATTACTAGGGTGGTAGCAGTGGAATGGTGGGAATGATTGGATTTGGGATGTATTTCCAAGTAGAGCCAGTGTGTTTTGCTGACCAGTTGGATGTGGAGAATGAGGAAACAAGGTTGACTTACATGGTTTTGGCTGACACAAAGGTGGCTGAGACAGGACAGCTCAGAGGATACTTGAGATGAGGAAAATGGTCACGTGCTTAATTTTGGATAAACTGAGGGTTCAAGGAAAAAGTCTCAGCCAGGGGTATTTCACATAGTTGGAGTGCATAGGTGCCTGGTTGAGACTACTAAGCAAACAAGTAGAAAAACATGTCCAAAGATTGAATCCCAGGGCACTTCAGTGTTTAATGAGAGGAACTAGGTGGAAGGAAGGAGAGTGGTGAAGGACAAGAGTAAACTACTGGGTCAGTTGTCACTGACAGGTCAGGTACACAGAAGGCTAATAATGGATCAGTGGGCTTACTGAGGTGGAGGACACTGGCAGGGGCATTCTGGGTAGTGGGTGCAAAGCCTGACTGCAGCAGAGTGGAGGATTGATAGAGGAAAGGAAGAATTAGAAATACCAGAGATAGACTGTGTGCTTGTGCTTTCTCTCCCTCTCTCTTTCTTCCAATTTATAAAGAGCAACATTGAAGAGTTTAAGTTTGCCTTCCCTTTAAAAATATTTTTAACATATCATGAACTGCTTAAGAGAGGCTGGGGGAGTAAAGAAATTTAAAACTAAAGCGTTGGAGCCAGCACATGGATTTTATATGAATGACTTGGAAAAACCTTAATTCCACTGTGAGTTACGGGCAGTATACTAGATCAGAGCATAGACTTGGAGTTAAAGAGATTCATCTGTGTTTGGATGCTGACTCTGCCACTTAAGCTCTTTGATCTGAAGCAAGTTACTTAAAGTCCCTGCACCTCTGCAATTGTAAAATGGGGAGTGGGAGTGCAGTAAAGGGAAATGTGCGTAATAGGTGTTAACGTAAAATGTCTAGTGTGGCATGGTTGGCATATAGTATCACTCCCTCCCGCCCTTTTCCTCCTAGCCTTAAGCATACTGAAAGTGTTTACAAGGAGTTGGCTCCTTGGCACCTTCCACATCTCACCTCATTTGCCAGGGAAAGTTTATTAGAAATACCACTATGCAACATAACTATAAAATGTTGTACCAAAGATCCTCTCTGTACCTTGTTCTAAATTTCATTCCTAACTTTGTATTTTAGCCCTTTGCTCTTTGAAAAGGTCAACAGGAACAAATGAGAAAGTCATCTCTGTGTGTGTGTGTGTGTGTGTGTGTGTGTGTGTGTGTGTGTTGCTTAGGACCTGCTCAGAAGAGCACAGTGTCACCATCTTGTCATTTTTAAGTTGCTAAAACCTACCTGAAGAAACTAGAACTGACCCAGCACTTCACTTAGGTTCCTTAGATAAGTGCTGCTGTTTAGTCCGGGTTTCGTGGCATTGTTTCCAGCCACCGGACGCCTTTGTTGTGTGTATGTGCCTAATATCTAGCTTATTATTCCTTTTTATCCTTATCCAAAAACCTCAGCTATAACATGTTTGGACACTTCAAGTTCTGCATTACATTATGTGGAGGATATGTTTTATTTAAAGATCCACTATCAATTAATCAGGGTCTTGGCATTTTATGTACATTATTTGGCATTCTTGCCTATACCCACTTTAAACTCAGTGAACAGGAGGGAAGTAAAAGTAAACTGGTACAACGTCCTTAAGATTTTGTGGAGAAAAGAAAATCGCCCCCAAGAAGACAAAGAACACTCAAAGTGTGGAAGTTACTTTCAAAAAAGAAAAAAAGAATTACAGTGCAAAATTCATGGAGTGGTTTACAAAAAGCAATACAAATTTTATTCATTGGTATGACTTTTTTTAGTACCTTTCTTTTGAACTTAATTTTCTAAAACCAAAATGGCTTATGCTTCTTTTCAAAGATGATTATGTGGGATATATAGAATGGTTTGGTTATACCAAATAGATGAAAATTAAATTTCTGTAATAATGACAAAGGAATTTGTATTCCAGCACTGCAGACCTTCTGTAGCTTTTCAGTGTTCATGTTCTTCTGAGGAAGGACACATTGGACTCCTCTACTTGCTAGTAGATGTTTTCCCAATGTGAGATTTATTATAATTTTGGTCAGAGGGCTTAAGGGGTTCTGGGGATCAAACCCAGTGCCTCATACTTGCTAGACAAGTGCTGCACCGCTGAGCTACATCCCCAGCCCAGTCCTCAAATTAGAACTTAAATCTAGCATTTCTGTTTTAATTGACTTAGTGCAACATTTTAATTACTTCATTTCTGGAAATGAAGTGTTTATAGAAAGCAAAATATAATGGAGAAAATGATAATAAAACCAAATCAAGTTATAAAAGTACTTCTTTTCTAGTAGAAAACTGATTTTAAAAAAAAAGTCATGTATTTTCAGGCCAGAAATATGTGCCTATAGGCATGGCTACACAAGAGGCTATAGCAGGAGGGTCATTTGAGCACAGGAATTTGAGGCCAGCTATGACAACATTGGAAGACTGTATCTTTAAAAAAAAAAGAAAAAGAAAAAAGGGCATACATTAAGGAAACTTATCTTCTCTATTTTTTTAACTTTCAGTAAACTTTAGAAATTATTGTGGAGTTAAAAAAATTAATAATAGGACTGGAGCTGTAGCTTGGTGGTCAAGCACTTGCCTCGCATGTGTGAGACACTGGGTTTGATCCTCAGCACCACATAAAAATGAATAATTTTTATAGAAATATTGTGTCCATCTACAACTAAAGAAAACTTAAAAAAATAATAATGAAACCCATATTTAAATGGCTCAAATAAAAGATTATAGGCTCCCTGTAGTCTGCAGAAAGCCGTGGGTTCAATCCACACACACACACAGGAAAAAAAAAAAAAAAAAAAGATCACAGAACTGAGTAGTTTTCCTGATAACTGCTGCCAAGGCCTCATTGAGCATTTATTTCATATTGGTAATTTCATAACACCACCTCACTCCCAATCTCCTACATAAGCAGCAGCCATGGAACTTTGTTCATTGAAAATTTGGAGTGAATTATGTCCTGCCTGTAATATGACCAAGTTTCATTTTTATGCAGCAAGTGAGGATAAATGCTATTTAAATACTAGGCACAAACTAGTGAAAATATGAGGAAAGATTTTAAAGAAAAATAGTTAATATTTAGTTCTTTTTCTAAAGGAATACTTTTTAAAATTCAGGTATTGGGGAAATATATGATTTCCACTTGAACAAATATAGTGCCACATACTTAATTATGAAGTGTATTCCTGCCTTCCAGTGTCTTGACATTTGAGCGTTAAAAGCAGTTGTCGATGATCTCACAATAAATTGAGATAGATCATTCTTCTTATAATAAATAATTCTTTTTCTAAACATTATTTATAAATTTTCTGTGAGAAGGTAACTTAAAGACAAAGAGTACATGTGTACAGTATACCTTCAGTGAGATGATAAATTTTATGTTAATGTTTTTACTACAACAAAAAAATACAGATTTTTTGGATTATTTTTTCTGGTCCATTCAGAATAAAAAACCTCACCAAAAACCTATTTTGAAAAGTTTCTGTTGATCTGTTGTATGATTAGAATATATGGTGTTCTGTTTTTGTCTTAAATATTTTTTGGCTTTCCTCATTTTACAGATATATTTTATTGTGCTAAGAAGTACAGAGCACTTCAATCATTACCACATGAACTTTGGGTATTATATTTGTCTAAGAAGTGTTCTCATTGTGGGTTTAAATGAACATAAATTATATCCCAAAAGATGAAGAAAAGTATTTTATTACAATGAGGAATATTTAATTTCTGTGCACTAAGAACAACTGAATTTTGATATGTGCCATGTACAAGTTTTTTATCTACAAATAAATTGGGAACAGAGTAAATGTGTGAGGTTGTAATAAATGGTGTTGGTAGGAATGCAGTGACAAAGAACACAAAAGGTGAAGGATACGTGTATATAAATGAATAAAATATGTACCACTAGAACTAGAGTCTGATATACGTGTTTGCCCTGAAGATGATCATCATATTGAAAAAAAACCTGGGAAAAATACTTTAAATGATAGGGGCCAACCACAGAGACAGACCAAAGACACAAGAGGAAGCCTGCTAATATATATATGTTTGTGTATGTGTGTGTGTGTGTGTATACATATATATTTTTTTTTTTTTTGTACCTGGGATTGAACTCAGGGGCACTCAACCACTGAGCAATATCCCTAGCCCTATTGTGTATTTTATTTAGAGACAGGGTCTCACTGAGTTGCTAAGTGCCTTACTTTTGCTGAGGCTGGCTTTGAACTTGCAATCCTCCTGTCTCAGCCTCCCAAGCTGCTGGGATTACAGGCGTACACCACTGTACCTGGCTGCAGCCCGCTATCCTTTTGTTACCAGTGTTACTGAACTTAATTTTTACCCTATGTTAAATGCCTAAACTTCAAGTTTTACCTGTTAAAAATAGGAGCGCCTCTTGTTTTCACATTTGTCTTGGATTTTAGAGTCAGTTGAAGATTAACATCTCTGTACACATAGGGCAATGCCAGTCTGTTCAACCTCCAGATGTGCAGATGCCAGTGAAGCCAAATTCCACCTCCCTTGTAAAATAACATGAAGGACAAATCTTTCTTTGTGTAAGCAAACTCTCACATGTTTCATTTCTTTTTAGACAAAAAATGTTTTTCATGGTGGTGGTGGGGATCAGACCCAGGGCTTCAAGCCCAGCTTAGCGGTAAGCATTCTACCACTGAAATGTACCCCAGCATCCCTAGTCCTTTCTTGTTTCAGTTCTTAAGGTACTTTTCAAATCTTACAGTATTTATATTATGGAAGCCTTAAAATTTATTTCAAAGGAACAGCATTGATCAAGCACCCCACATTCATTCCATAAATAAATAGTTGGTGGGTAGATGAATATGCAAGAAATTACCATTTCCCATTGTTTATTTAAGAGCAGATTACATTAATTAGAAAGATTTTGTTTGAATCTTTTAATACCTATTTTTTATGTGCATTTTTTATTCATAGATTGTATTTTAAGAAAGTATGTGTCACAAACAGTATGTAAAATAATGTGACTTGTCATTTAATTTCTTTAGAAGACATGATTTCTTTTGATTTTTCAAAGTTGCTTTATAGTTCATATGAAATTATTACTTGATGGATTATTTATGGGTATTTGGAGAATATTTTTGCTGTGCTATTTTAAATTAGAAAACAGCACATCAGGGGCTGGGATTGTGGCTCAGTGGTAGAGTGCTTGCCTACCATGCATGAGGCACTGGGTTTCATCCTTAGCACCCATAAATGTAAAATAAAGATATTGTTTTCACTTTAAACTAAAAAATAAATACTAAAAAAGAAAAATAAAACAACACATCAACCAAACCATACTGATCTACATTTTTCTATTTAAATAAAAATATCTCATAAGTACTATGCATTCCGCAAGAACAAATATGCATATTTATTTAATCAGCTAGCACTGTGGATTGATTTGTTTTTCTTTTTAGAGGAGGATAATTTATTTGGGGCTCATAGTTTCAGAGATCTCAGTTCATAAATGGCCAACTCCATTGCTCTTGGCCTGAGGTTAGGCAAAACATCATGGCAGAAGGGCATGATGGAGGAAAGCAGCTCAGGAAACAGCAAAAAGAAAGCAAAGAGAGCGAGCTCCACTCACCAGGGACATAATATAAATCCCAAAGGCACATCCCAGTGACCTACCTTCTTCAGCCACTCCCCACCTACCTACAGTTAATGCCCAGTTAATAAATTATCAGTGGATTAATGCACTGAATAGTTTTAAATTATTAGAACTTAATCATTTTACCTCTCAACTTTTTTGCATTGTTTCACACATGAGCTTTTGGGGAACACTTAATATCTAAACCGTAACATTCTGCCCCTGACTGCCAGATGCTCATGCCCATCTCAAAATGCACAAACACATTTACTCCATTTTAAAAAGTTCTCGTAGTTTTACCAGTTCCAGGATTGCCCAAAATCCAAGTCCAAAATCTCATCTGAGACTCAAGGCAAACTCTTAAATATTTTCCCCTATGAAAATCAAAAGTGAGTTACATGTATCCAATATATAAAGGCACCGAGTAAACTTTTCTATTGCATAAAGAAAAAATAGGGGCATAGAAGAGATGGGACCAAAGCAAGACCAAAACTCAGCTGAGCAACTATAGTTCCACATTCAGCATCTGGGGCACATGCATCATGATGTTCTCTCCGAAGGGTTTGTAAAGCTCTGTCCGTATGGGCATGCTGGTTGCAGCCCAAATGGCCTCTCTCTTTGCTCTTTTCTACTTGATTCCTGAAGCTTTCCTCAGTAGACATCCCATAAAACTGGCCTCTCTTAATCTTGGGGTCTCTACTGTGGCTTTGGCTTCCTTCTCACATCTTCACACCTTGCCCTCTTATGGGCATCCCTCAGGCTTTCTGACCATGCTACACTTTGCCTGTCTTTCCAGGCCTTCCTGCTGAGAGCCACAGCTAAGTAGGAATGAAGCATGGCATTTTTGCCAGAAGGGAGTGGTTGAGAGGTGACACCAGGGAGCCATTGAGATGATGATGGTTATGTTAAGCTGTGTATTCAATTGTATATTAGACCCCTGCTGTCCATCCTGGCGCCCACTACTTTGGAGTTCCCAGCTACTTTGGAGAGTTGGCTTGGTTGGGGGAGTGCCGGAGGAGGGATTTCCGGTTGGTCCCTTCCAGGACCCAGTGGGTGGAGATCATGGGAGTTCGGATAATAAAGGAGTTCCTATTTTGAACCTACAAGTGCCTCATGGTGGCTCGGTTATTTTGTGCCCAGCCAGACTGCGGCAC